ATTTCACTTTGATTGCATGATTACGTGTCCGATGTTCCATGCGCGTTTACTAAAAAATACCATTTCCTATCCGTACCTCAGGATCTTGTAAATCATCTCGATTATCAACGGCGTATAGTGAATGAACATCTAAAGTAAGTCGTCCACTGTCCACCGTGCTTTCAACATGATACATAAAAGTTGACTTTTTTATCCTCGAAATTTCTAGCGTGTACAAAAACAGCACCACAAAAAATTCATTCACCCTATTCCTCCTCGATAAATTCTTTCCGATGCATTCGCTTACCACGGAACAACGTAAGATTTTTTGGGATCAAGATGGAATTCATCCCACAGAAGAAGGCTACGAATTAATGGGAGACATGGTAGAGTATCTTTCATCCATTCGCCTCCACCGATCTTATGTGTAAATCGTGATGATATTGATGTTCAAATAAAATTGTTTTGATAGATATACGATATTCTCTTCAAGGAAGGATCATGGGACTAACTGATATAAGCCTTTATATATATATATATATAATCACCTCCATCGACCTCATGCATACTTTGAAAGTCCCCTTCAGGCAGGTGCTTAATTTTATCGAGCTGTTCATCCCCCCAAAAAACTTTAAAAAATACGCGTTATCCACCCTCGCTCCTTCCTTATTAAAAAGAAACAACAACAAAAAAAAAGATTCGGTTTGATATCGAATCTGAGGGAGCTCTCTTCCACCTCCTTTCATGACATTTCTTTCTGAGAAGGAATTTTTGATTTCCACAACAAATAGAGATTTCTTTGGTTTTATATTTATTAGTTGTATATTAGGGCATTTTTTGTGATTGTGGCATCAAAAGAAAAACAAAATTTTTTTTATTCTTTATCCTTTTTCTAAACTCTCAGTTCCAGCTCATACACATAGACCAGAATATACATTTAGTACATCTTTTTCGTTTTGATAGACGAAAGAAATGCGCCGGAAGGGTTTGAAGAAACGCCTTGTTTATGAGAACCTTTCCCCGCGCGTCTTCTTTCGCATGTCAAGATTAGTCCAACATATACATATACACTTACATTATATACATCCTTCCCTTAGACTTACGAGGCATACAAAATATGTCCTTGTTAATATGCATACTATACTTTTTTTTCATCCAACCCCTGCGATTCTTTTCTCGAGAAAACGCCCTACTTAATTACTTGTTCTCTCTCTCTCATCCCTCTTGTATTTTAATGACCACATCCATCCGCGTTGACAAAGAAAAAAAAAAGAAGTCATTAAAAAAAAAAACTACTTGTACATTGTCTTTTCCTTTCCGAAAAAATTTATTCCTTGTAAATATACAAATATATTCTGTCATTTTCAACAGAAAAAAAAAAATCTTTTGTCAAGCAGAATTTTTTTTTTGGTTACCAACTTTGTGATTTTTTTAGGAAAAATTTTTCGTAAAAAAAAGGAAAATTTGTACTGGCCACTGTGTCCTCTTAATGTGTGCGCCCACTGCTCTAAAAAAAAAAAAAAACAGAAAAATCTTGAGAGAAGAGATACGAATTGCACACCTTGAAAAACGACCCTGAGCAAATATCATTCTCGAATAAAGGTTGGGAGGGTGAAACTCGGCTCCTTTGGAGAATTCTTCCAAATCTATCCTGGAACCGGGTGCGGTCAAGGATTTCCCTTCAATTGATGTATATGTTCCTCGGAAGAATTATCCGGCAGTATGCCTCGCGGTCCACAACAAATTCGACTGCACGAATCAACCAACGAAGGAAGAAACGTCAGCCGTCCCTCGCACGCGTTTCCCTTTACACTAGACACTTTGAGCAAAACACACCTTTCTTGTACATAGCTTTTCTTTTCTTTTCGGAACAAGGGACTCACTCACTGACAAGGAATTGTTCTCTGATTCCTCTCACTCTGCCCTTTCCCTTTTCTGAAAAATCCTTTTTGTATTATACTTATATTTTATTTATTGGACATCTTTACATATCTATATATATTTATATATTTATATATATGTGCTTTCTTGTTTCGTTGTTTTTTTAGATTTTCTTCCTAAGGTGGCAATCGAAACAAAACTTTCTCGCTCATCTCCCCGTAAATTAACAATCAATAATCACCCTTTCATAAGCACTTTTTAAATCCGAATCCCCATTATGACTGACTTCACTTTTCTCTAAGCTCTTTTCTACCGTCCGAAAAAAAAACAAAAAAAAAACGCGTGCCTCCATTGTTCTAATGACCTTTTTCAATTATCCTCCTAATTTCTCTCACCCGCCCCTTCGGTGGGAGCAATGGATACGCGCGTTTTTCACACGTAGGTTATATACACGACCATTTACCAAAAATCAATCGAATTTTCATCCGCTTGCATTTTAATGCACCTTACCTCGTTTTTTTTTATCGTTATTTTATGGAAACTGATCACGTCCAGTTTCCCTTCGAAAAATATCCTGGCAAATTTTGAGATATATCTTTTCTTGTTTCTAGCTATCTTCATGACAAATTTGGATTTTTTTCTTTTCTTTTTTTTTTTTTACGTTATTGGCAAGACGCGAAAAAAGAAAAAAGGGAAAAATATTCGAATTACACATCACGTTCTGTGTTACCTTCCAGATACGTAGCTCTGCTCTTCTCGGGTAGTTAGATTCTAAAATCGCTTTTTCTTTTCCCGTGTTTTTTTTCTTTTAACTGGCAAAATCTGAAATTCAATTTATTTAATAAACGACCGACGTTAAATTAACTAAATTAAACGAGAGATGGCAATTGTGCTGAAAATGTGATGTCTTTCTGAAGAAAATAAATGATGGAAGGAGACGGATGTGTTCAGGAGACGTACGTGCGCATTATCATTATTAAAAAAAACGAAATAAAAATAAAAATGCGCGAACCATGTAGTGACATCGGTGATGAACGAGAAAAGACGGGGAAATGTGTAATGATGCAGGTGAGGAAAAGAGGAATTGCCGAGGAGGCAAGCTGATGCGAGGTAAAAAAATGAACTCCTTTTTGAGGTATAGCACGATGAAGGAATTGAAAATGTTAAATCCGGTAATGCAGCATGTGTGAAGATAGAGGCGATTGAATGTAAAGGGTAAAAAGAAGTCAATCCGATGGCCATCGTTAACAATGGGATGGATTTACAATGATTGTTTCGGTTCTAACTATTTCGATTTCGTGCAGACCAACAAATTACGTTACAAGCTGTTACACACAGGCAGTGCATCACCTTCTAAATTAGTCAGCCGTACGGGGTATAGATACGACGAAAGGATTCCTTGCTTCTCGGTGATTGAATTGAATCGAATTCAAAGGAGGAAATGACGTGACCAATGGACAAGACCACAAATCAGTAAATGCATGTTTCCCAAATGTAAATCTTGTTTGATATAATTGCTTACCATTTCTTGCCAGTTGCATTTGCCTTATAATTGTTGGCTCAAGAATTGAACAGGTTCATGATGGAATCAATTCAAGATTTTGATAAATGAAGTGCTTATTAGGACACCTACTGTGTAATGGTCAATATATGAGGTTAAAATGGAATTACATTAAAAAAAAATGGGTTCTTTAAATCATTCCATGTTTTTTGTTAAGTAGTGTACATAAAATATAATTCTTTTTGTTTTTTAGTCATCATTTATTGTGTCACAAATAAAACTAAAATATTTGACTTCTTATTACAGTTTATATGATTATTTCAAATTTGTTAAAATATTGTTTTTGAATATTACACTATTAAAAAAACCTATCAAACAGATTATCTATTCACTCTAAGAAAAAGCAGCAAAAAACATACAATGGTTCATAATCATTGCTATAAAACTTTAGCAATTCTTTTGTTTATAATTCTATATACCAAAATTCGAAATCTTTTAACAAAATCAATTAAGATTTAACAATTAATACTTCAAAAATATTTTTATAAAACAATAACAATATACAATATATTATAGAAATTTTTTATTGATTAGTAATAAAGTTTAAAAAATTCATCCAATACAATATATTTTCAATATGTTTTTTTTCAATCCATATTTATTTAATAAACCATTTATCAATATTTAAAATATATATATACTGTATATTAGATTAATAAATAAACTTAATAAAAATTATTATTATTTGAATTATCTAGTTAGATTTTTATTAACAAAATATTTTTACAATATTTAACTTTTAATAACTTTATTTAACAATATACTATATACAGTATATGTTGTTATAATTTTAATATTAACTAAATCTTGTTTTTGATACTTTATATATATTATATTAATGTATTATCTAAAGTTTATTATATATAAATAAATAAAGTTATATTT